TATATCAGCCAAAACATTAAAACCACTGGCAGGGAAAGGAAGTGAATAACTTTATTCCACTCACCCCAAACACTGTCGCAGAAGTTTCCATCAGAACATTGCATCGTTACGAGATGATCGAGTTAAGTCACTTCACCCGCCAGTGGTTTTAAGGTTTTGGCTTATGGGTGTACATATATATATATATATATATATATATATATATGTCACTCACAACGTTCTTAATGTATAGAAAATGATGAAGGTGGGATTAAACCCCTCTTTGATGGACTGCAGTATCCTCAATGCACTTCTTCTTCCTATCTTCCCAGATCTGTGTTGGGCATTGTAGTCCTGTCTCATAATGCAAGTGTAGACGTTGGTTTGGAGGGGTTCATGAGGTTGACGTAAAGACACATGGAAGGCAACTATGTGCACGTGTGTTTGTCACTGTGTTGCTGTGTGTCTGGCTGTATATCTGTGTGTGTGTGTGTGTGTGTGTGTCTTTACGTCAAACTTTTTGTTTTATAAAGCTCTGATAGTGTTAGAATGGAGCTTTAAGTCTTATACGTGTGTGTGTGTGTGTGTGTGTGTGTGTGTGTGTGTTTTGTCTTAAAGGAATACCTCAACATTTTGGGAAATAAGCTTATTTTTTTTGTTGCAGAGTTAGACGAGAAGATCAGTAACAATCTCATGGTGTTGCTAAATATGAAGTTGGAGGCATTTAGCTTATTTTTGCAGTCTCCGCTGGTCGCCTGGTAACCTCATAGTGATGACAAGGGAGTCAGTGCAGCCAGACAAGAAATGATTCCAGCAAGCAACTGTCCAAAAACCACAACATGTTAATTTTTACATTTCTGTGTATTGGAATAAATGAATTAGTTATTTATTGGTAGACCTCAGAGTAGCAAATAAGTGTATTTCCTCAAATGTGGAGCTGTTCCTTTCACTCTGTATGATTGTAAATGCACAGGCCAGAAAGTGAAGCACACTACAGAAGTGGCCTCTGTCATAAGTTGCTGTAATCAGTAGATGCTGTTCTTCCTGGGGCATACAAGATGGAGGTGGGGAACAATGGGAGAGAGCTCAACACATTTACACACCCACACTACTGTAGGGACACATTCTAGGGTGCAGGACATTGCAGTAGGCCACCCAACATTCTAGCAGATCAATGCCAACCACAGCCTGGGTCACTTCAGAGTTGGTGCCCTGGAATGTGCCTCAGATTCATCAGGGTTCCAAGGTGCCTTAACCTATGTCCTAAGTCTCTGCTCCTTTATTTAAAGTGTGCACAGTGTATTCTTTTTTCATTACTTCATCTACTCATTCCTTCCAGCATCAGGGATTGTTGGTAGCATGGTCCTGATATTCCTGTCAGAATGGGGTGCACTCATTATATGGAGAGGCAGAGCGTTTGGACACAGCATTCAACCACCCCCAGGTTTCTGGGTGAGGGCCACAGAAAGACAAGGCACACAGAGGGTGATGTATTCCCCCTCTGTTTTCTTTTTTACCTCATCTACCTTTGTATTGGCCCGAGTGGTCCTTGGAAAGAACTGATTGGTCTAACAGAACACCAAATCCCAGGGTCAGTGCTGAGCTCCTAACAGTACTGTGGTGGTGCCACAAATCTCAGTCGAAACACTATGGACTTCATCTGAATACACAAATCATTCCATTTGTTTGCCTAAGGATGAATAATATGCAGTTTAACCTCCATGGTTCAGCCTGCCTTGCTGCTGCTCTCTGTTCCCCATACTCTAACTGTGAGGGGTGTGCTGTCCGCTCGCTGCTACTGTGTAGGGTTTTACAACCCACTGTGACATTTCAACAGACCTGGGTCAAAAGGCAAATGAAATCCTCTCAAATACTGATTGTGTGCAGTTCATACTGTCTGTTAAAGAGCCACCAAGCCTATGTCAGTTGTTAAAAGTTGTCACGTAAAAGATCTCTCTTGCTGTTTGACCCATGTCTGCATACCTTATGTATTTAGATATGTAACAATGAATATAGAGTTGTTGATAGGCAATCCTCAGTCACTTTTGCAGATATATTAAAAAAAAATACAAAAATGGGTTTCCATATTGATAAAATCTAACTTATAATCTTTCATTTTTATATACAGATGTAGATATAATTTTCTATTCAGTTTTTTTCTTTAAAATAGATTATTGTTTTATTTTTTCAGCTTTGTAATTTAATGTTGAAATCTTATTTTTTGCGTCGTACATGTCTTCTTTTGTATTCACCAAGGTACAGGCTTTTTTTTGTTTGTGCATACACTTAAAAATGCTTTAGTCGATCTGTTCTCCACATCACTGCACATCGTTGATTTGGGGAAGTGTGAAGACTGTTTATAGGAAAAAGAGAGAGGAGATTGATTCACGTCACAGATGAGTATTTACATGTTCACTGTACATTTAATTTCATAAACATTAACATAATCTTAAGTATAAGGCCCAATTGTTGTAACTAACACTGCAATGCTGTAAACCTGCTGCATGATTTTAGCAAGCTTAAGTAATATCTTTGGTTGTGTAAGTATTCATCATTCATAGGAATTTGGTAAGCAAAATGTGAATGTGAATACCTTTGCGTCTGTATCCCATAGCTATGTCACTGGATCCAAACTCCATATCTAAGATTCTTGTGACCAACCTTTATGTGCTGGTTGTGTTTATAGCCAAATGACGATTATGCTGATGCACTTCTGTCTGTGGCTGGCCATGTCTTTAACTTGTTTAGTTTCTTTTGATGATTAAAGACAATTCAATGATAAGATGGTAGTATGTCCTGTCTCTCTGGGGGTATATAAAGGAAAACGTCACCCCCAAATATCATTTATGTATCAATTACTCATCCTGTGTTATGTTGAATTTGTGAAGAAAGCTGTTTTTCTCACACACCTCCATGGTGAACCAAGAATCCAAAAACTGAGAAAAGTCTTGATGAAATAAAGTCATACAACAGCAAAACTATATTAAATGATGAGTTTACAAACTCAAACTTACAAGTGTTATTTACCCAGACATATGCTTGGTACTTCCCAAGCACTGTTTTTCAACGGGCAACTGAACTGAAAATGAACTTATCTATTCCCTCTTCTAAGCCTGACAAAAGCAGTAAGCAAATGTTACCTCAGTGAACAGGGGAGCTACTGGTCTACCACTGCATCAATCGGTTACTTAGTTTGTGTTATTGTGTGACCTTGGAGTTTTGCTGTTGTCAGGTTCTGTAACTTTCTAAATATTCTTGTTTTCAGTGACCTGAGTTGTCACTAAAACAATGTCCTTGGAGAGCGATAACATGGACCTTCATCGGGAACAGACTGATATCATAATTTCCCACCAGGGATCAGTATTGTGATTTTGATTCTGATCTTGACACTGGAGGAGAGACTATGATGATCTGAGTGTGAGCCTACACGCCATCAACCAACAGCTGAAGACTCTGCACCTCCAAACTCACAAGATCAGGAAAAAGGTTAACAGCTGGGAAAGCTGGACAGACAGATATTAAGCAGTAAAGGCAGAGGAAAAATCTGCAATTCAAAAGATGTGTCTCTGTGCAAAGACAAAGTCCGAAATCACAAAAAGCTTGACACAGTCTACAAAGGGGAAAAAAAGCCTCAAATGAGGGAATACATCTTCAACTGCAGGACCTCAAGAAGAAGCAGTTTGGTGACATGAGAGAAAAATATGACGCTGCATGACAAGAGCATGAGGAACTCATGAAGGAAATTAGACACCTGAGGAAAGAACTCTGGACAGTATGTGCACTGCACTGAAACAGGAGACAGAAGCAGTGAGCCAGTACAACAATGCCCTGCAGAGTGAAATCCTGTGGCTCAAGGAGAGGTATCGACATCATAAAGCTTTGGATGAATCATACAGTGTTGCAAAAGCTGAGGCAGTTAGCCTCCAAAATGACGCTTTGCGCCTTTTTAAAGATACATAGATGCTTCAAATTTCACAAGTGGGGTATTTGCTAATGTATTTTATGTAATGAAACCAAACATTAAAGTCTCTTAAGCTTGTGTTAACCACAGACCTTATTTCAGGCATCTAACCAAAAAACCATTTCAGAACACCCACTGACTTCAAACAAAGGAACCGGGGGTGCAAAAATGCTAACTCATTTTTGGATTTAAGGACTCATTCTTCAGGCACTCTATACTGGGAACAACACTGCCTGCTAATCAAACTACTTCATTTGCCACTGGAATCTTTTGTATAATGGACTTTATTAACAGCAGTCAATAATACAGCTCAATTTTAAAAACAAGCAATTCATTCTCACCAAAACATAATATTAAGTGCAAAGAAAAAAAAAGTCATGATCATATACATTCAGCAGAGAATCACAAATGCACAACAACCAAACATGAATGGAACTCATGTCGAATAAAGGAATGATGTACATACAGTACTCAAAGGCAGATCCAGCAGCAGTAGAAATGGCAGAATGGCCTGACAATGAAACGTGACATTACACCCAGCAGGAATCAGATGGGATGTGAGTCACCTGACCTGATAAAGACCTGCTTTTTAGACACAATCCTCCCATTCAGTGTTGGATAGATTACCAATATAAACTGCATATATTTGAATCCCCTATTATTGTGATCATATCCATAATTTATCTAATTGTCTGTATTTACTGATACAGGGTGCGTCTGCATTGCTTGTGCAAAGATCACTTTGCTATTCATCACAAACATTATTCAGATATAAACTTTCCAATGGGAGAAATCTAAAGCTTTACATGATAACTAATACATGAACGACCAGTGTCACTTCAGTGGTAGTGGAGCAGTTTTTTAAGTAGGAAAAAAACAGCAACATTTTCTTTTTCTTCAGGTGAGCGACTTGCTGCTGATCTGCTGTTTCCTCTCGAGAATTTAGTCCATGCAACGGAAGTTTGGCACAGAGGGGAGCAGAAAGTTTGGTACAAAAGCAAAAAGTACAAAGGAATAATGCTCCATCTAACTAGTAACTACAACAGAAAAATGAAATCAAAGTATCTTCATGTCTTCTGATTCACAAAACATACAATTTCATATATACACACACCACTTCAAGTCTCATAAAATTCAAAAACCAAAATATTACAAGACCCAAAAAAAGAAGAGAAAAAAAGATGACAGCACGGTGAGAGAAAACCTGCACACTGTCAGTCATCAAAAACATTAGTTATGTGTTTCATCATGCTGGTTTACTGATGTAAATTGGAATATTAGTAAGTATGTGATCTTTAATGGTCATTCTCTCTTGGTTAAGAGAATACAATGGGATGTAGAGAAAAACACTGAGGCTGCCCTTTGGATAAACATGTAAGGATTTAGGTCAGTTTCATCTCCGTATGACCAAGGCAGGAGACAAAGATAGACTTGAACTCATACAATGAAATATACTGAACAAAAATTGAAATACAGCACTTTTGTGTTTGCTCCCATTTTTCACAGGTTTAAAAGTTTAAGATCTTAGAATTTTTATGCACTCAATGGATATATTTCTTGAAAATTTGGTGGCAAATTTGTTGAAATTTATGTTAGCACTTCTCCTTTTCCAAGACAATCCATCCACCTGACAGGTGTGGCATATGAAGATGCTGATTAATCAGCATCATTACTACACAGGTGTGTCTTGGGATGGTCACAATAGAAGGCCATTCTAAAATGTGCAGTTTGATCACACAACACAATGTCACAGGTGTTGCTAGATTTGAGGGAGCGTGCCATTGGCATGCTGACTGCAGGAATGTCTGCCAGAGCTTTTGCCTGTGAACTGAATGTTCATGTCACTACTATAAGACATCTCAACTGCTGTTTCCCTGAATTTGGCAGTACATCCAACTGGCCTCAAAACCACACTCCACATGTAACCACACCAGCTCAGGACCTACACATCCAGCGTCTGCATGATTTTTGCGGAATTTTGAGACAAACCTCCAGAAACTGTCTCAGGGAAGTTCATCGTCGTGCTTGTCATCCTCACCAGGATCTTGCTTCGACAGCAGTTCATCTTCGTAACCAACTTGTGCCCTTGTGAGGCCGGTTGGATGTCCCGCCAAACTCAGGCAAACAACATTGGAGACAGTTTATGGTAGTGAAATGGATATTCAGTTCACAGGCAACAGCTCTGGTGGACATTCCTGCAGTCAGCATGCCAATGGCACGCTCCCTCAAAACTTGGGATACCTGTATCATTGTGTTGTACAATCAAACTGCACATTTTAGAGTGGTCTTTTATTGTGACCATCCCAAGACACACCTGGGTAGTAATGATACTGTTTAATCTGCATCTTGACATGCTTGACAGGGAGCGGCTGTGGCTTGGGAGGTAGAGCGGGTCGTCCATCAATCAGAAGATCAGTGGTTTGATCCCCGGCTCCTCCAGTCCACGTCCTCAAAACAAGTATCCTTGAGCAAGATACTGAACCCCAATTGCTCCCGATTGCTTTTCCATCAGTGTGTGTGTGTTAAATCAGGTGTGTAGCAGGTGGCACCTGTAAATGGGCAACTGTGGGTAGTCGGAAGACTGGAAAGGTGTGATATAATTGTAATTGTCTATTTACCATTCAGGTGGATGGCTTATCTTGGAAAAGGAGAAGTGCTCACTAACAAGCCCTTTTTATTGTCTCTTTTGGCCGTCGAGTAAAACCTTGAGGTGCCGATTTGCATTTCCTTTGTCAGTTTTAACATGCTGAGCCTTGCCAGTGATGGACCTTTTCTGAAATAGGGCCAAAAGGGTGCCCGCACATCTCCAAGTGGGTAGCCCTGTTGTAATAGAGATGTAAATCCCTGCCATGCCGGGCTGAGAGGTCAGACCAAACCAAACCAAGCCAAGCTAAGCCAGCACATGACTGTCAAAAAGGGGTATAACACAGATTTTAATAGATTAATGACCAAAAGTGGAAAATGGGAGCAAAAACAAAAGTGTTGCATATCAATTTTATATGCATAGAAAAGGGGAAAACTCAACCTTCTATTAAATCAAGTAGTCTCCTAAAAATGCTTGAAATGATGATGAACCCTTGGCCTTGGAAAGGCAGATCATTTTAGTGAAATTATTTAATGGACTGAGGGCTCAATACAAAGCTCCCCTTTTATTTGGAAAATCAGTGGAAATAGTCACAGCTGCCAAGTCATCTTGGTCACCAACTGTAGCTACAATATCACTAAATATGATTTAGTGAAAGAGAAAACAGAACTCTCACATCACTGAATGTTCCCTCAATGAGTTGAGCTTTGGGCCCATTCTGTGTCCACCTTTCTAAAACTACACCATCCCCATTAGATGATAATACACACCACCTCACGCGGACACACTCGCTTCCACACAACTTATACAATCAGTGTTTAATCTCTAACTTGGGGCACGGCTGTAATTAGTGAACAGGAAAGAGCTGGGACAGTCCTATGCCTTCTGGTCTATGGGTAAGCTGCTGTCTCTGCTTGTTGCTACAGTGTCTGAACTCTTGCAATGTCTAGTCTGCCACTGTAGACTAAACAAGCACCACTGAGTTGCCTTTTACAAGCTGTGGATACTCAGGCCACTGCTAAACTCTTGTCAGGCAAGGCTTGATTGGCATGTTAGATATACGTTAGATATGTATTATGTACTATCACGTGTATTATGGAAATAAATCAGGTAAAGAACAATGGGGAAAAAGAGGGAGTGGGAAAGCAAATGGGTGATGGAGAAGACGAGAGCAGGGAAGAGAGAAAGAGATCCACGGTGGAGCTGGGGGTCAGTAAGGTAGGTGGCTTGTCGTCCTGCCTTGTACAGGTGGTGGGGGAGTTGGAACAGAGACTTGAGCCTCTGCTTGGTTGATGCTCTCAGCTCTGGGCTCTGACTCAGGACCTGGCTGTGGCCTCAGCTGGCTCATTTTTCTCTGTAGTACAGCAGGTACATCTTCAGAGGCTCGGGCAACGGCAGGCCCAGTATCCTCTCTCTGAGGACGTTCACGGCCGGCTGGGGTCGGAGCAGCTCCCCAGTCTCCTTCTCCTCCTCCTCCTCTTGCTCCTCCTCCTCATCTTCTTCCTCAACTGTCTCCTCCTCTTCCACCACCCCTCCTGCTCCCCTCCCTGCCCTCCTGCTCCCTCTCATCTGACGTCTCACCTCCCTCTCTCCTGCCTCCTCCTCATCCTCTGCTCTTCCTCCCTGGTTGTTGTTGCTGTCCAGAGGGGCAGGGCCGATACCACTGCTGGCCACCACCTGGCGCGTGGCCAGGACGAGGGCGTTGCAGTGACGTCGGTGGACGCGTCTGCGTTTGAAGCGAGGGCCGTACTTATGGAGCCCAGCCACTGCAAGACCCCTGCCTACGCTGAACGAGGACCCTCGACCGCGTGATTGGCTGTCTCCTCCATCTGTGGTCACTCTGAGGGTGTGGCGGATGCAGATACGAGCCAGCTCCTGTAACGTCCGTACCTCATACTTGGCTGCAACATTGAAAATCACAAAAAAATGTTTATCAAAGATGATAGCAAAGCAACACAGTATATAAAATAAGCATAGCAGAAAGGTCACATAGGTTGGACTACCGTGTTTTACTATATATCCTTTAATGGTACAGTAACAGCTGAAAATGACAACAGAAATTCACAAGTTTGCTAATTTTACATATCTCCACAACAGAAGACAATTGGCAGTGATTGTTGTTGTTTGCACACCGTCACAGTGATTCGCCCTATAGTATAGCTGTGACTTGACAAATTCACTTAAGTCCTGACAGTTCGTTTAAAGGCACAGTTTCTGCGTACGGCCTGTGTGCATTTCTCTGTGGACTGAGCGTTATGATACTTTGACAGTATTCATGTAGCACCTGTACCTGCTTTATATCTAAAAAAAGACATAGGAATATGACATTTTACAATATGGGAGCTTCAAATTTAAATAAAGGACAAAATGAGACTTACGTAGTGGGGCAGTCTTGGGTTTGCCATTTGTGCTGTGTTTTGGCAGCACCAGAGGAGCGAAGGACACAGAAATGATCTTTTTGGTCTCCCAGCTGTTGGGCCCTGTACGGGTGATCTTGGTCAACTGCAGGAAATACAACAGGATAATCCCATTACTTTTTCCATTGTAACTTTTGAGTGTGTAGTTTTGTTTTCTCAGCTGATTTCATTCAGTGACCAGAAAAGTTTCTAAAGAAGATATTCTACATTGGAAAATCTATTTTGAGATCATCATCAAGAAAATGACACTTTTTTAGGGTACAAATCATTCGTAATGCAATCCTTTTTTTTTTTTAACAAAGAAGTTGCCATTTACAGAGTTACAAGGTGCAATATCATTATAATCTATAACAAATACTAATCAAAGCCAACAATATACTAACATTTACAGACAAACAATAAAAATACCAACACACAAATAAATAAGGTCAAGGAGACAAGAGTAATATAAAAGAATATGCCCACTTTTTAGCATGAATAAGCAGCATCCAGTCGTAACATTTAATAAAAAGGTTTACTGGTGTATATTTGGGACACGCTCTATATGGGACAGGTCTTTAATTCCTTTCACACTAAACTCTTGCACAGCAAAGATGGGAAATAGCCTACTATGGAATCAAATGATCACATTTTTGTCTCTTGTTTACCATGCTGGTAAATCGAAATGAATTACTTTTAGATCTGCAAATAAACACATTACTGTTTCTTACACACGGTTAATTCAATGTTTACTGCTCATAAATGCTAAAAAGGGGGGCTTAAAATAAAGTGCTGTCTAACACGCAGATTTGAACTATCCTGAGTTTCTCTGGCAAAACACCAACCTTTTCCTCCAGAGGCATCACCAGTATGCCCCCCATCTTGAGCAGGTTCTTCATGTAATCCTCATGCTCCTTCTGTACCCCGGCCCCGCAGTACACCCTGTCATACTGACGGCTCTCTGGGGGAATCTCCAGGCAGTTACCCACAACAAAGGATGGCTCACAGAATTCAAATCTGAAGAGAGATGCAGGAGCAATGGAAAACAATACACACAAGAGTAAAGAAAAACAATCATATGTCACTGACACAGTTGAACACCTACTTGTCAAAGCTGTCGCTGGTTTTGATGAAGGAGTCGAGCTTCTGGTAGGCATAGTCAATCACATCTGCATGTAACTCTATTCCATGATTCACTCCAAATGGTCCTAGAACAGTTAGCAAACCAAAGCTCACAGTTTGACAGGACCCACATTTGCACGGACACAAAGATGTGTTTGTAATGCCATAAGGACGTTAGGATGTTAGGCTCAACAACAAACTCAGAGTGTGGTGTGTGTGATTATGCTCTTATTCTTGCACTAGAATTACGGTTGTATGCCTCCATGCACTTGTCAAGTGTCTCTTACAGTTTACATCCATGTCTATAAAAATAAATGGATGCATCACACACATTTTCCCCTGACAGCACAGAAGATCGATACAATCAGCACAGTTTCAAGGTGGACACCCAAGATTAGTGTCATCAATTCAGTATCTGACCAAATATCTCCCCTTTTGTTCCTGAAATATGATGTTGAGCAACGGCCAGAAAAGTGTTTTACTGTATGCAAAACATTATGATGACACAGTGAAGTTGACCTTTGACCTTTTCGATATAAAATGTCATCACTTCATCATTTTATCATATCACACATTTGTGTGAAGTTTTGTCATAATTAGCATGTGAATGCTTGAGTTATGGCCAAATATATATTTCTTGAGGTCACACTGACCTTGACCTTTGACCTTTAAACACAACATTTTAATCAGTTTAGTCTTCAGTCCAAGTGAATGTTTGTACCAAATTTGAAGAAATTCCTTCGTAATATTCTAGTGATATTATCTTCACATTAATGAGACAGATGAGATTATACTGACCTTGACCTTGGACCTATGACCACCAAAATGTAACAAGTTCATCGTTGAGTCTGTGTGAATGTTTGTACCAAATTGGAAGAAATTCGGTCAAGGTATTGTTGTGAAATCACATTCACAAAAATTAGACGAATGAGATCTGATTGACCTTGACCTTCGACCTATGACCTCGAAAAACATATTCATGTCTCTTGTTCTGTGTTATTTTATGCTCTGTCAGGTCACCTTTGGTGTTTTGAAAGGCGCCTTTTTATATAAAATGTATTATTATTTCATTATTATTAAAATCTAATCAGCTCATCATTGAGACCAAGTGGACATTTGCGCCAAAAAAAAAACCCTCAAGGCATTCTTGAGGTATTGCGTTCACAAGAATGAGACAGACAAGGTCACAGCGATCTTGACCTTTGTCCCTTGACCACCAAAAATCAATCAGTTCTAATCAGTTCACCGTTGAGTACAAGTGGACATTTGTGCCAAATTTGAAGAAATTCCCTTGAGGCGCTCTTGAGATATCACGTTCAAAAGGATGGGACTAATGAACGAATAGACAACTTGAAAACATGATGCCTCTGGCCACGACTCTCACTGGTGCAGAGGCATAAAGAAATGTGACATACTGTGACTTGTCCTGCATTAACACAGGCCAGTCAGAACATCACTACACCTGCCTAAATGTGTCCTTTGTAGTTAACACTCTTTTTGTCCAATGATGGTTTTCCATTAATTATTTGGGGTGTAAAGCACAAGTGTTAGCACGATACAATGTTATGTCAATTCCTCTGACAATAATGCAACAAAGTGACACGATACAATTTTGATACAGTTCAATTCAGTTGCCTATAAGCGACATGAGATAATATCAGTAAATTGTCTTTTTCTTGGCTGCTTGCTGTTATCTGCCTGGCGCTAGGCTGCTAGCATTGTATGGATGCTGCAGAAGGAGGTGCACTTGGATGTAAATGGTGATGCAGACGTGTCATGAAAACGTCAAATTAAAGGTGTATCTTAAAGATGACAACATGTATCACTGTTTTCATTTTGATTTGATGATATTAGATCATTGATCACTGAGTCAATAAACTGATCCAGACTGATGTATCGTTGAACAAATGTGTATAATTCTTTTTTACCAACTGCCCGATTTGACAGTAAGTTACGAGATTTACTAGCCCCATGTGGCATTTTACTTGCCCTGACTGTTATTGTTAGCCCTGTAATGATCAGACTTTAGTCATTTAGTGCACACTGAAGAAATGCTTTGCCCATCACTACAATAGTCATGTAACTACTGACAAATCAACTGGACTGTGACAACGGCTGCTCTGTGGAAGCTCAGACCAAAAAAAAAGTATCTAATAAAAACATGCACCTCTTACACTGAATTTGAGTTCAATCTTTTTTTTTTTTTTTTACTTTTTCTCTTAAACAAAAGTATAATGTTATCCAGACAACTTGACAAAACATGAGGAATTTGAACCTATATCTTTCAGTTCACACGTGTGTGCCTGTCACCTTGACACTGCCACAGAACAGTAATTAACACACTATATGCTGAATTGCTGCAGTTAACCACATACCCAGTATGAGGCCGACCATGGTGCTGAGGTAGCCAGTCCCACTGCCGAGGTTGAGGAAGGAAAGGCCGGGGTGGAGATCCAAAGCTTCCATCACCTCAGAGTAGATACATGGAGCAGACAGGTGGATGTTTCCATGCCGCCACGCCAAGTCCTAAAAACATCAACAACAGTATAACTTAACCAGCTTTTCTTATAGCTACAAACTGTCAGCCCATCAAATGTGCCCTTAAAAACATGACAAATATCTAGTGACTTTAAAAAAAAATATTTTGGCTCTTTGGGTGGTGGCCATTGTATTATTCCAAACTCTATCATCACCTATGCTGTGGATTTCTTTGGGTGATTTCACAGACTTAAACTTGGCTCACCTTGTAAGCATTGTCCCGGTGCTCATCCAGGTAATAGTCAGCCCGGTCGATGGCTCGAAAAGCCCGCTCAACTAGGTCTGAGCGGATGTAGTAAGCCTCCTTCAGGTTGTCAATTAAGTCATCATTGTCCTCACCGGCACTTACAGCTCCACCCATGGTGACTAGAGGCAAAGAGAAACAGGTGATTTACTGTCCCCAGTGACAATATGACAAGCAGTATGTGTATCTATCTATCTATACAATTTTGCCCAAATGTTTACTGTAACACAAAACATGACTTTTTTGTCAACTCAATCATTTAAGATTTTGCTAAAATAGAAGGAAATCGTTATATACATATACAC